TTCGAAAAAATAGATTTTTCATATGTTTTACTATGTGATCGACAAAAATTACGTAGACTTTTGTCCAGTGAGTGTACTCTTTATTAGATTTAGATACGTACATTCTAAGACTCGCAGTTAATTTTACCCTTTTTTTTTGGCAATGCCTTCCGTTTGCGAATACGCGAAGCAAAGCGACAGAGTCGGTCTCAGTGGGCAACCACAATCTGAAATAGATGATGAGCATGCATTCGAATGAATCGAGGGAGCAACCAAACACAAGACTACCTCTGTGACCAAGCCGCGACGCGAGCGTTCCAATAAGGTCCTAAGTCCGGGTCTCTTCCAATTGATGTCGCTTGCAACGTCTGTGAGGACGAGATGTGAAAGATAGAGTTGTTGGAGATCGCGTTTCTGTCGTTCGAGGTCGTTCCGTTGGAAGGCTGTCCGGTAGAGGTCTGGTGGATCCGGTGGTCCGATGCAGGTGGAGAGGATGTGGGTGACATCGTAAAGGCGGATGCCACTGTAGGTTCGTTTTGCTTTTATACGTCCTTGAGAGTGCCAGCGACGTGAGTTCTGGATGAGACTCCAAGCTGTTTCAATGTTTGATGGGCAGAAAGAAGGACCATTTAGTAAGAATTTTTATTCTTCGCAGCACACCTTCATTTCATACCTCAAAAAATCGCGTTTATAAGCAGAAAAATAAAAAATCCTTCTTAATATTAATAAGGGATAAATCGCGTTTATTTAAATTTTTCAATAGCCATTGATAGCCAATAAGATTATTAGTTATCATTAGCCACAGTTCAAACGGTACTTCTTCTAAGGCACTCATAAACGATGTTATTACATCAATGTGCAAGATGGCTTCTTTTTTTTCAGGTTGTTTTTGGTTGTAACACTGTAACTCCACCTTCCTTTTCGATGAGTGAAGGACTTTGATCTGAGCCCATTGTATCTTTCGAAGAAAAATTGAAGGCGGTTACAACATTCTAGTCAGAATAGGGGGAAAACATGATAATGACGAGTCATCATCATTCTCTGCTTTCGCAAGAAAGTTGTCAAATCATTATTTATCAATTAACTTCTAAACGGGACATTCTTTGAAAGTCATTATTCTGGTGAGGTAATTGTTTCACACCTAATTACGACGTGGACGTGTCAGGCATCTTTTTGTATCCTGAGAATCGAAATGCAATAATGGTATGAATATTATTACTGTCCCAAAACCGTATAATAATTCGCGAGAAATTGACATAAAGACATACAATCAATAATCATTGAAGATAGGTACGCTTAGCATTGGAAATTTGGGGTATGTAATGACTTTGCGGTTCTGAGAAGGAATTTACTGTTGCTAAACAACGCGGCAAATTGAATCAAGCAACTCTCATGAACTCAACAGTCTGTTCAATAATTAAATTTCAAGGCAAAAGACTTGCAGAATCTACAAGTCATGGTCGTTGCAGTCAAGATCAAGGATTACACGACGTGTCCAGGCATTTGCCAGTTCAAACCAATTAATTGATTAGTTAAATATTATACACAATCTATTCAATAAGAATCCGCGATCAATAATGCTTATCCTCGTTCACACGTGTCAATTACTATCATCACTCTGCCTGTTACTGCCACTTGAGTTCTCTCCATTCTCACTGAATTCGATCTCAACCATTTCCCTGATTCTATCAAGATAACATTGCTGCTCATCAGGTGAAAGAAACAAATGTGCTGTCAGTGATTCTATGAGCTTGTCAAGTCGTAGAGTACTTTCCTTGGCGCGATATACATCCCACATATTCACTCGACTAATTGACATAATATAGCTTAGTATCATAAAAAGGCCCAACGATAGCGCTATGTAACCGGTAAGAATACTTACTTGGCGCTGTCCTGAAAATCTCTCACTATCTCAACAAGTTGTGCAAACACTTCGTCCGGTAAAGTGTCATTACGAATGGTGTCGGCATCGCAGGTATACGGCAATCCTACCAAAAGCTGTGATCAGAAAATGGTTTACCCGTCAGACGGGACCAACACGAACTTACTGTGAGAGCCCAGAGGCTCGAGATCCGGTCCAACAAAAATAAACTGGAATTGAGAAACATTTGACGGTTTCAGTTTGTCATATGGTGTTATTATTATACCAATGAACGGTTCCACACCATCCTCATGACGAAATAGCTCCTATAGTTGATTATAGACTATCGGTTAACTTCATTCTACATTATATATCCAAGGTGAAATCTGGTTGCTTGCTTTTTTTTCGTACCTGATACTGAGCTTGATTTTCTATATCTCGCAATGACGGTTGTGGGTCAAACGTTGGATGTGAGTGATACCATCCAACAACGTCGAATCCACGTGCAGCAAAGGCTTCATTTGCATGCATCTCAGAAACTGGATCCATTTCGCACTATATTAATGTGCAGTCGTCAACTTCATAAGTAATTTGAATAATTCTATCCTCGTCATTCAATGACTATACATCGCAATAAAATCTTTTGTGAACTACCTCAATACCAGTACTCGTGCCTTGACAGGGAAAGGCCATAAAAATTTTCAATACGCGTCGCTTGTCATCATATTTACCCCCGAGCAGACCAATTATTTCATTATAAGTCATGTGTGCATGAAAATCCATTACAAGCTATTACAAAGCAAGAGCTCAAGAAAATTAGTTGCTCCTCCGTAAATTTTGTGAGTACGCGCAAAATGAGTACCTTGGCGTTGGATACTATTTCAATTTGGAATGGCGGAGGATTAAACGTGTCATAAGTATTCGGTGAAATCAGCCTGAACGGGTCTTGAGGATCATCATCAGTGTGTGAAACCAATTAAGGAACGTGTATAAGAAGAAACGTGATGAGAATTACATTACATTCTCTTTTTTTTTAAAAAAAAAGGATATTTGTTCAGATGCTCTTCGCCTCCGTCGAAGTTTTCCCTTTCGGCGACCTGTTTTGTCTTTAAAAAGTTATTCAATTGAATCTGATGTAATCGTATTAACAAGTGCTATGTATGTCTGTATGCACAGATATGATCTTTACCGTCAGCGTCAGCCATTGAAGAGTCTCTTGAAAATATAGCTTCATCTCTTAAAAAAAAATCTATTAACTTCCGTCTGATCTGACACGTAGAGAACCAAAAGGCTACCTAGCCTTAACTACCTCTCATCTATTATACTTCTTCGACGCTTTCTTATCATGCTGGATTCGAAAGCCATGCGAACTAAATCCTGACACCCCCGCCTTCAATCCGCCTTGAGGAATGTTAATACATACTCTTCGAAGTCATCGTCATTCAGTTTTTCTCTGCCTAAATATTCGTCACAATCACTAGGCTTTCTTTTCAACTGACTTCTTGTCCTCACAGCAGTAGCAATCGAACAATCTTTGTTGATTGCTCCGATCTTCTCGAGATAAGCATGCACTCGACCGATTGTGTTCATGTCTCCATAGTGCTGTTGAATAGTTATTACATTAGGTGCACTTATAGCGTAATAGATCCACTAATAGTAGAGTATACGTAAGCAATCACGTAGCATTAAAAAATTACCTTCAAAGCAGGACGAACACTTGTTTTGCTGACGTAATTTGGTTGTCGCTTAACCCAGGTGTCAAGTATATGGTTTCTTATGCACATATAATTCTCAGGCGTCTTTGAAGCTTTACCAACAAAAAACTCTTTATTAGCTTCCTTTTCTTCTTCAGTTATGATATTCCTATCAATCGTCTGTTTGTTTGGAACATGTACGTTAGTCCGATGACTACTTGAAAGTTGAGGAATTACAAATAGCGTACGAGGAGGCACGTCGTTTGAAGGCAGGAAGCAAGCCAAATGGTTACTTTTCACGACGGTCTTCTCACCTTGCCGGTAAGTGTACCCTCATTAGCAGCCAATGTAAACGTATTTATATTTTCCGAAGAATAGTCTGATACTTCGTCTTGGGGCCGTTTGGTTTGAGAGTGTTCTAATAGTTCGGCTGTGGCGATATTATTTATATGGTCTTCCATAGTTGACGCCATTTAAATGCGTGTCAAAAAAGTTACTAATTTGCCGGTTTGCTATGTGTACGGTCCTCTTTAAATTATGTGAATGATCAGAGTACAGGCTCGAAACTCCGGCAGCAGAACCTTGTTATTATGTCCGTGTAACACGAACTATCACTGTTCATTGGTTCCTTTCTGACCATATTGAGAAAATGGGGCGCGTTGCGAGAAGCGGAAATACTGTATGCAGAGAACCGGGGAAATGTACACAATCGAATTGATATAAATCGGTATGAGAATTTATTGGTGTTATTATTAGCAGCATTGGGGCGATACTAATAGTTTGCTACGGATTTACTACAACTTTTCTATTAAAGAAAGTCTTTCGATTTTAGGTAATTAATTACGTGATTGTTATTGTTTTAATTTGATAAAAAGATAACAAATGTTTTGGCTGTTTCCAATTATCAAATTGAACTCATATGGGACATCCTTGCCTTGATATTTAAGGCAGCAGAATAATGAGAAGATGCTATGAGAAGGGTGACTATTAATAATAACAGTTTGAAATCCCAAGTATTTAATTTGCATAATTCGGTCAGCAAATATTTAAATCTATTGCTGCAACTCATGAGATACTCTATTTGCTGGTTGTGCTGGTTTCATGATTTATTGGGTTAATGTATTTTCAACTAAGAGATCCAAAATAAATACGCAACATTATAACTTGCTTAAAGGTAAATAATGGTCCAGATTGTGGTAGTAACGTTGTTCATGGCGCTTTTATTCCTGGTCCGAAACACATTTTGTTGAGCTTATCATTTTCCATTGAGAGTTTTGAGCCCAAGACGGGCTTTTGAAGGATAACGTAAATCATGCTTATACATGTCTTTGTGCAAAGAAGAAACCAACTATAAATTGTATCAAAAGATACGCAATTAATCTTACACGGTTGTTTATTCCCTTCGTTTGAATTATGCCACGTCAGAAACTGTGTTCAGACAATTGCACTTTCATCAGCATACTTTTATATCTGTGAGAAGTTAGGACATTAGCGTCCGTCAGGAAGCTGACCGTTAGTATGGGTTTTCAGAATAATTTGACAAAATTGTTATATATGAGTTTAATCTATTAAAATCAGTAACCGACCGACACTGGGATGAATGTTTACGAGGTACATTGTTGAGTAACTATTGGTTATCACACATAAGCGTTTCTCGACGTTGAACTGCACGTCACCATTATCATATCCAATTCAAGATCGTGAGAAATTTTCATGTACAACGTAGTATATGTGCAGAACTTTTTGCGCGGAAAACTTAATTCACGTGACGTATTTAATTGCTTGCCGATCCATTTGTCATTTTTTTCGACGATCAAACCTTTCTGCAAGAATTACCTTCTTGTTATTATTAAATCTCTCCCCTTTCCTGCCATGTCCTCCTTCCCAGCAGATCAAACCTCCAACACATCCTTTTATTCCCAGTCAGACACAGTGAACGTTTCTGATATCCTCGGCAACGTTGATTTTGGAAGTGCTCAAATAAGAGAGCTAGCCGGACTGGGAACTGGGAAGTTGGGAGAGATAGAGTTCGTACAAGTCGACGACGTGCCCGTGACAGCCGGACCTATTGCGAGTAGAGGAGTGCTGGATGACCTATGCTATGGAACTGGAACGACGTATTTGGCCGGTACGTGTGTAGAGATCTCGTAATTGAGGAATTAAGCTTTTTTGCGTATTTATTGGTATGACACGGGCATAGGATTATCCTTCGGAGGTCTGTGGGGTTTAGTAGAAGGTACTCGTGGACCAAATTCGAACTTCAAATTACGAATAAACACAGTACTAAATGCTGTAACGAGACGAGGACCATTTATTGGCAATTCATGCGGAGTATTAGGTTCGTGTATTATTCAAGTCTCACTGTTTAATATGGTCATTATTAATACTCACTGTTTCCTGTGCTTTTCAGCGATGGGATATAATGGCATCAATGGTATGATTACTACAATAAGAGGTCGTCACGATGCTGTGAATAACATAGCAGCTGGGGCTTTGGTCGGAGCAATATTCAAATCAACTGGTGAGAACCATATTTTCGCTCTTTTGTGTGGTTATAAAATGACTCTCATTTAAGTTTTGTGATTTCTGTTTAGCCGGGATAAGAGCAATGTCTGTTGCGTCCGTTGTTTGTGCGAGTGCAGCTACGGCCTGGACTTATGCGTTTCGACGTTTACAATAATCTGTACATCCCATAACATAATTCTGTCAGTAAATAAAGTAGATTAATTGAAGCCACTTATCAAATAAAAAGATAATATTCACAACTTTAATGCATTTACTACTGTAGACAGGATTTTTTATTAATACCTGGGGAAAGTCTTCCAATAAACCCATTCCTTTTTAAGAAAACCTTTTTTCTTCGCGATGCACAACGATCTGTTGGATTGAACCGTTGCTCTGTCAATATCACTAGGTGAAGGCTGTGTTTTGGATACGTTGCCAGAACGCAAATGATTAGACAAGCAGCTTGATTTAGTCAAACAAAAATGACTTTAAGCTTAGAGACACAGATTTCTAATATTTGTCAATAGAAGATAAACAATTGTGCTTATGCTCGTTTGCATTATAATTTTATTTACAATTGAAGTTCTGCATAAAGTCAAAACTGGTTAACCAGATCCGGTGGGAGCTCAGGGAAACCGTTTTCATCGAACGTCACATCCGGTGCAAATTCATACAAGATATCATCTGGCGGATGACCCAGCTTCTGCATCTATAAAGCACAGATAACCATTAATGCAAGCCTAATTGTACAAATAAAACATTCCGTAATCAGTCTTACTTCTTCCATAAGACCGACTATGATTTGCTTCTGCTCTTCGTCATCTGCCCCCGGATCTTGCGACTCAAAATGGGCAACAATCTTCTGAACGCACTCATATTGTTTCTCGTATCTCTCGTAATCTTCCCTGGAAACTTTCTCTTTGTTATCTTTAAGCCATTGCGGGTACTTAAAAGAATAACAATCATATAAAGTGTCATGGGATTCATGGATGAAATCTTGATTAATCAGTTTGAGAATTTAGAAGGATTCGAATTTATGATTGGAAGAAAGAACGTGTTTATAGAAGGGAGAGACAAAACATGTAACAAAGTAGAACAGAAGGAGCATCGCATTGATCGGGGAAATAACTAAATACGAAACAAATGATACGAGTACCTTCATACCGAGTTCCTTCATCGGTTCGTATAGAAGGTCTCTAGTCGTTAGTTTATCCATCATATTCTCGACCAAATTTGTAAAATCGCCGCTTTCAGCAATGCTGTCTAATGCTCTTACAAAGTCCGATAACAAGTCTTCGTTGTCTGTCATTTCAGTCTTGATTATGAAATTAGCATTATTGAGCTAATAATTTGCAATGATAAAAAACTACATGACACCATACCCCATACATTCTTGTTACATTCTCCTCTCCACTCTCACCCAAATCCAATTGAACAGTTGGTTGTTAACGTACATCAAGTTGATCAGAGCTATTCCTCAACTGATTCATTGTCTGATTTATGTGATCCTGAAACGACCCTCTTGTTCCACCCGTCTCTCCACCCTGGCTCGCAACGTTAGTATTAGAAGCGGTAACGGCAGAATCGTCTATACTGGCGTCATCAAAAGCCTGTAACAGTGCATGAAAGGTATCCTCAAATGCTTTATCATTGAATAGTTCTTCGACTTCTCTTTCCAAGTCTTTTTCTGTGGGAGGCTTCTGAGTGCTATCTTTACTTGACGAGGCATGGCCACTCGATTGTGCTGGTAGGTCTTGTGTAAAATCATCTAGAATTTCTGTTATTGTATATAAGGATAAGTTCAGACTATCAAACCGAGAAAAAACACTGGTAAAGAGATCCAAAGATCAAACCATCGAGAAGGTCGTCAAAGTCATCGTCTTCTTCAGCTACCGTCGGTCTTCTGTCGTTCGAAGACATTTATAAAACCGTATCCAGAGCGTACTTAAGTTGAGGTCTATGACCTGGTAAAGATAAATAATAAAATCTATAAACGGAGGTCGCGAGCAAGTGGGGTATTGAAAAGGTGATAATTACGCCCTCAATTTACTTGCTAACACGTGCTAGTCGTGAATATATTAGAGTCAGTCACATGAAATACATAATAGCTTAAATCCAAGGACGTATTTACGAAGGCGACAAGAGTCATCTCCAAGTCTAGTGTGGACCGCATTATTCATCAAATCATGCAAATAGGCTTAACATCTATCCTATCTAGGTCCCGGCAAAACGGAGGGCTACTAGCAAATACATTCCTAATCAAGCTTAACCTTCAACAATGAATGTTTGCTGCGTTTATTTTTTAGTAGAACTTAACTCAATAACCCATCAAGGAACAGAATCATTTTAACTTTTGACCCATTCAGAGCTTTACAAGAATTGTACGTTCTAATATTAATGTCGATATTTCTGTAGAAAATCCGTAAGGATCACATGGACATTTTATACCTCTCTTTGGAATAAATGAATGTTGCCACCACACGTATCACATCGAGGTGGCACTATCGACATTGAACGAATTTACCCAACAAACGTCTCAGAATGCCTCTCATGAATTGTCAGAGATCATTCCACCCATCATGCAGTAGAAATAACAAGCAGTCTCTGCTTGCCGCTCTGGTAAAAAGAATAAAATGACTTAGCAGCGACATGTTCAAAGTGAACCAACTCGCGTTTACTAAAAAGCCTCTGTCGAAGAAGCGCAAAGATGTGAGCAAGTCTATTGATTTGCGCGTTAATACTATTATTATCCGAGAGTCACATCAACCTTTTGTCGTAGTCAAATTTTAGACGACTGACTAGTTTTGTATGCTCCACCAAACGGAGTCTCTATAATAATAACTTGGAATCCCGTTCTAAGCCAACAGGCCTGCATACATTCCTTGTTGAAGAAGCCAGTGAGAGCATATCAGTATACGAGGGTTAGTCGCTGTGCATCCCCTTCATATTTTTCTGTGACCGTTCTTTTAACATTTGCTGCAGTAGATAATTCAATCTAAGACATACTAAACGTTTTACGTTCTCATTTAAATGCGATGACTTCTCGTTTGCGTTGTTATTCAAGAAATTGCTGGGGACAATTCGAAGGTGAGGTATTAATATGGACAGTTTGCCGTTCTTTATCCGTTATCCGGTCTCACGATCCGTTATATTCGAGTTTCCTTATTACTATCATTATTACCATGACAGAAATCTTGACGCTTTATTGTAGCAGGTAATATTTATTGGAGGAAAAATAAAAATGAAAGCCATCTTGGAATTTGGGATTCCATAAGCTTCTCCCACTAAGAAATTTTGCAAATGTCAAGTTTCTGAAGGGTATTCCCAGCAAACTAGTGTATAACCCGTCACTATCACTTCGTTAACGGTGTGGGTTATTTTATATTTTACATTTCCTTTATTACATATATGGGGCATGCTGCAACAAAACCAGACAAAGTGAACATTCTGAAATAAGAGGCTTGTGTGGCTGAAAGTTAACTAATT